TAGAAAATTAATAACCAGGGTATTTTCTTTGGATAACCACCTAGCTAATTTATTTTACCACCATTTTGTTTAGCTAAATGTTTATTTAACTAATTCCCTCATCAAGTTAAAGGTTCAACTCGGAGAGTTGCCCTTTGAGAGTAGATATGAGACCAGATCTGTTTTTGCCCAGAGATTCATGCTCATTCAACAAACTGTGAACTGCCTCAAATTTCTAATTGAGATCTAACACCAGGTAGGATAATTTGTGACTTCTGAGCAGCAGATGATAAAAGGGGATTAGACATTCAGAAAATGTTATTAGGGAAAATACCTGTGAGGGAAAATTGGGAATCAGACAAAGGAAGCTAGGAGAGCCTTCAGCCTGGAATGCAGGTCCAACCACAGAGAACAGAGTAAAGGGAAGGAAGGTCCTGTGGAAGTCACAGCCCTGAGGGCAGCTGTGAGAAAGTTCAGCAAGGGCAATGTCATGTGTCAGCAGAGTCCTACAGCTCCCAGGAGCAAAACTAAGTATCCCTGCCACAGTGACTCATTGCCTGGAAGTGGCCACTGGGAATTGTGGTCTCTGTACCAGCACAGTGATGGATTTCAGAACACAGCAGCTGGGGCCACTGGTCAGTGACACCCACCCCAGTAGAATGGAAAGGTACAGTTTTATGGCAGTGAAGAAAAGCTCCACAGCTAATTAATTTGACAAAAAGTTAAGAAAGGATTTTAAAGTGTTTTGCCACACTAACTCAAACCCACTGACTATAAGGACTGCTTTATTTGCTGTTGTCGTCTTTGTAGGACCTATGAAAAAACATCTTGCATCAAGGAACTACTCAGAATATATTTTCAAATTTGATTCAGTTCTAACACTACAGTGACCATATAAATGACTAGAGGTGGGAGAAAACTCAGCCTGTATGTCTACAGAACTTTCCCATAGTTAACACAGCTGGAGAGTGGCAAGGAGAGCACAAGGTCCTGGGGTTACATGTGATGACATCCCTGGCACAATGCATAAGGGTACTAGTAGGTGGAACCATCATTGTCACTGGCAGAGTGGTGGCAGCATCTTTGTCATTCAGAGGAGGCATCCAGGGATGCTATTAAGTCTGCATTATCTTTTGCTTTGTCAGATTTAGAAGATTACCCTCTTCTTGGACCCATTTGCTGTTCTGTCACCTTAAAGAAAGAATGGAACGACAGGAGAGAGTCCAAATTGAGAAAGAGCTAGTAAAGCATGCAGATTCTGATGACAGATGGACAGACTTCAAATTCTTGCTCTACATTTCACCGTTCTTTCATCCGGGGCAAGTTGCTTCACATCTCTGTGTTTTGGTTTCCTCATCTTTAAAGAAGACGGTACGTTAGTCAGCTTTTCATCACGGTGATCAAAATGCCTGACAAGAACAACTTCAAGGAGGAAAGATTTATTTTGGCTCATGGCTTCAGAGGTTCTGTCCATGGTTTGCCTATTGGCAAACGGCAAGTCAGAAAAGCCATAGTGGAAGTGTTTGGGGAAGGGTGTGGCAGGGAAAAGATGCTGGGCTCATGACAGCCAGGAACAGAGAGACGGAAAGGGGCCAGAGACAGATATAGTGACCTACTTCTTCCAGCCATGCCCCACCTGCCTCTCAATTTCACCATCTCCCTGTACATCCATTAAAATTATCAATCTGTCAAATGGATTGCTCCATTAAGGAAGTCACAGCCCTCATAAATGATCTTTTCACCTCCAAACATTGCTGCATTGTCCGACACATGAGTTTTGGGTGACATTCCAGATCTAAACCTTAATAAAGGATACCGTTATGTACCCCACAGGATATATTATTACTTTTAAATAGTGAACACATGTAAAATCACTTAAAGCAGAGATATGTGCCAATTATTTAGAGGTGAATTTTAGTGGGATTTGTCTGAGAGTTCCCCGAACTGAAATGGGCTTGGGGAAGAAGTGAGAAACAGAATTATATACCAGGGAAGGACATAAGTAATTCCTGAAATTAACCCCTTCATATTGCATACTTGAAAAGAGTAACTTGAAGGAGAAGAGATATGGGTATAAACTGACAATAGAGTAAGTATATGTTCAGCCAGACTAATGATGAAGGAAAGGGTTTGGTGTTGGTTTTCCATTCTCATCACCATGGCCAATAAGGTTACTTAGATGTGCTCATTGTAGATCCTGGTTGTTTTTTTTTTTTTTTCTGATCATGATGCTTATCAAACACAGAATCTTTTTTTTTTTTTTGGTTATTGTTACTGTCTTTATTTTAATTAGGTATTTTAATTAGAATGCTTTTAATTCATTGTACACATTGCAGTACAACTTTACATTTCTATGGTTGTACATTATGTAGCATCATACCATATGTGCAGTCATACATGTACCTAGGGTAATAATGTCTATCTCATGCCACCATCTTTCCTACTCCCATGCATCCTCCGAATCCCACCCTTCCCTTTGCCCCATAAAAATTCCTGCATTTTTCCCATGCCCCCCCCCATTATGTATCAGCATCCACTTATCAGAGAGAACATTTAGCCTTTGGCTTGGGGGATTGGCTTACTTCACTTAGGATGATATTATCCAACTCTATCCATTTACCTGCAAATGCCATAATTATATTCTCTTTTAATGCTGGGTAATATTCCATTATGTATATATAGCACAGTTTCATCATCCATTCATCTATAAAACTATGGCTGTACCACCTTCGTTTAAGTTGCAAATGTAGAAGGTCAGTAGAGGACTAGAAAGAAATAAGTTACTTAACTTTATAACATCATCATGTGAAAGCCAGGGCACTAAAATTTATTGGAAAGCCACTGCCATAGTTCTTGAGATAATTGAGGACCTGAAGTCAGTCTTAGGAAAAGCAACACATACCAAGCCAACTTAGGGAAACACAGGAGCAAAACCAACTGAGGTTACCTGGTTAGCACAGAAGGATGTTTTCATTTATAAGTGCTTATTATAAATTAATACAAGTAATTGTCGTTAAAAAGTAATTCAGGATTCCTTTTGTAAACTTGGCCCTACCTCAGGAATCCAGTAGTAAGATCTCTCAACAGAACATGTCCTAATGCAATAATTCCAATACGCATGATGGCATGACATGGGTATATGTTTACATAGAAAAGGTTTAAAACATCACAGCTACAAATAGCGTGAACAACTAGAAGACCTTAAAATGAAGATGAAATGAACACATGGGTTTCTCTTCATAAATTAGGACAAAGTTTAATCGATTGTCCCATTGTTATTTTTGATGGATTTGTGATTTTTGAGATTTTCAGGATTTGGCTATCTTAAAATCATCCTTGATATATCTAATAAGATTTGATTGGCTTTCAATGATAACTTTAACTGTTCCACTGAGGAGTGCTCATTATTTTTTCTTAGGATTTTCTGTTTGATTTTTCATAAAGTCCTTATCTCCTGCTCTTAGACACAGAACATGTTATTATCTTTTAAAACCTTATATCACATACAACTGTACAGGTTAGAGATTGAAATGCTAACAATAGGATCCCATCCCTGCCACAACTCCAATTCCCAAGTGACAGGAGAATAAAAACAACTTAAGATGAGGGCTTGGGGGAATGAAAAAATACAACAAACCCCTGTCATGTGTGTCATTGGAGTTATGACAAATATATAAAGAAGTGAAGTGTGCATTCAAATAGGGTATATTACATATTTCCATTTCTGAACATATGAAAACGTTTTGGAAGAGATAGCATTTTATAATAACAATAAGAAAAAATATGGTCACATTATTTTATACCATAAGTTGTCAAAGCATATAGATCACCACACTTACTGTGACAATAAAAGATTAAGTCATGTAATATTTTATTACAATGTGGTTTTTCCTCCCTCCATTTCCCCATAGTTAGCTGATGACACTGTGCAACAAAAATATTTTCTGAAGGCTGTGTGACTTATTTCTCTAAAGCAATTGAACATTTAAGTTCTATTTGATTAGTTAATTATTAGTATCAAGAGGGATAGAAAAGAGATGACAACATGAGAGTTTGAGCCCTGAATTCTATTCACTAGCTGTATCAGTGGGAGAAATCAATCAAACTCGCTGATTTGCCTGCTCTAAATGGTTTTAACAAGTACCCTTTGTACATGGAGTCTTGTTTGTGTCATATGATCTCTATCCATACAAATGATCATGACCTTTCAATGCATGATCTGTGATGCCACTAACCCAGACAAAATAAAAAGAAATAAGGTTGCACCTTATTTTCGCATTTATTTACTTCAATTTCATTCAAAAATCAACTACGATTGATACAGAATCTGCCCCTGAGTTTCAGAATGATAACTGGAATAGCTATTTCCATGTTTCAGAGGCACCAAGAGATTATTTTCTAGTCATTAAAAATGTATTTGCCCTTTGCTATAAACTGTAAGGTTGGTTTTGTGGCAGTAATAATTAAAAGCATCCTTTGGTTTTACTGATTTTTACTCAAATAAGTATGTCATTGACCCTAATGGGAGGAATATCTGTAAATATATATACACTCCTGATCAGTTCATTTGAAGTTTTCCTTTCAATCCAATAAATGCACAAAACCTCTGCAGGTGCCATTACAGCTAGAGAAGCATTACCAGTGTTAAATGAGACAGTTCCTAAAAGCATATCAAAGGCACTGATTTGTCTGAAATGGTTAGCTTGTTTCACTTGTATCCTATCACAATTGGTAGCTGCAGTGTTTATTTGAACTTAAACACTGATTAGGTCTTTTACTATCCTGTTTTTGCAAGCCCACACAAAGCTAAATATACCAATCCTCATTAAGACCAAAGAAACATGCATAGCATGTCAAGCAGTCATTGTTGTTATTACCAATAAACAAAAATGCATATGCTTCCCCAATCTCTGTGCTGAAATGTGCTCTGTGTTTACCGAGCAAGTTAAAGGATAGGGGGGTAAAAAAAAAAAAACAAAACCCTCTGGATGAGTGTGTGGACTCCAGCCCTGGGTATGTACCTGGGTCTCAACATCTGTCAGCTTTCTGGTCTGCTCTGCAGTCTGAGTCAGGAGGCTGGTTCCTATCTCGAGCATGGTGGCTGTGTGGTTCTGAACTGCATTCTGCTGTATCTGGGCCATCTCCGACTTCATATTTTCCACGATGTAATTCTCAAGCTGCAAGAGATAAAGGACAAAGTATACTAGATTATAAGCAAAGTCTCCCAGTTGGGGCATGTAATATTTACAATGACAAAACAAGACACAGCTGGCAAACTAGCCATCTGGCAGGGATGTTCTGTGTCTCTGGGAGCTGGAGAAAAAGGAAGCAGAGCACACAGGAATCCAATTGCTAACAAACTCCTAATATACTGATACATATAAATAATAATCACAATCATAATGGAAATATGCACTTAAACTATGATTTCCTATTATTGGCATGATCTCATTTAACCCTCACAGCAAAGATGTAAACTAGGCACAACAGGCCTCCTTATTCTTTTTATTTTATAGCTGAGGAAACCAAATCAGAGAGGGAAAAGGATGGATGAACCCCAGGTCACCCAGATTAGCAAATAATTTCAATCTAAATCTTAGTGCTCTGGTCTTCTAGTTATACCATGATGACCAGTCATCTCAGAGAAATTCAGTCTTCCCCTTCCATTTTTGTAATGATAAATAAAATATCCTACTTCCCTGGGGAAATGGACAAGGAGGGGGAGGAAAGTATACTCCCAAAATGAAAGCCTTTAAGGAATATTAAAACATAGGCAAGGATGTGTTGAATGAACTGCAGATCCCTAGAGTGAGCTATAAGCATTTTCTGTGCTCTTTTGCAAGCCCAAAAATAGGCACTGAAAGTATAGCCCATAAAGCAGCATTTGCCCTACTTGCCTGGGGTAAAATTGGTTCCTTTATGATGCCATCTAAGAGTACACTAAAGTTGTAAAATAAATGGTACCCCAGGGGCCAAAGAAATGATTAAGTGAATTACTACAAGGGATCTTGTTAGGCACCTGGGAGAATAAAGCTGAGCACATGCAGGGTTTGAAAAATGCAGAAGTCTGTATCTCCCTGTCAGTACACTTCACTCTCCCCCACCACTGCATGGCGACTGCATTTTATTACCAAATTACACATATGGGGAAACTGCATCCCAGAGAAGTCAGGTCCAAGGCCACACACCACAAAAACAGCCAGACTTGGACTTGAGTGCCGAGGTCCTTAACTCATACCAACACTTTTAACCACTCGATAGCTCTGCCAAGTCGTGCTTAGTGAGACAGGTTCCAAATCATTAACAGCTACGTGATTTTTTACTGATTTAGTGAACCATAATACATCCACTATTTTATAATCCATAGTAACATTATTATCATGTAATAAATACAGTCTAAATGTATATCCCCCTTTGCGAAATTTTGGCAGTTCACTTTCTAACATCATCTCTCCCTTACTTCTATTTATCAAATATGAACCTGCCCCAACCTAACAAAAATGGAAGCTTCGTATGAAGCTCATATTCTGATACAAAATTGATCAGAAGAAATATCCGAAAATTATCTTAACAAAATGGAAGATCTCTACACCAAATCTTGACTTCATTCCAATTGAATGAACATACGTAAGCAACATGGGAAGGGTAGAAGAATGAGGGTCGGTCAGAGTAGTAAACATCTATCATTTAGATTCCACATCCCTGTATCCTTTTTCCTAGTGACATCCCTTAACATCTTTAAGGGAAATTATCATTTTTTTCTTTTTTCAAAGCAGATGCTTTGGGTAGAGTTGATCCACTCTAACTTTAGAAGGGGGTACATATTTAAGTCTGGCAAAACACAATGTTCTACTCTTACTTAGCAAGTGTGGGTTGTCCAGGAATGGAAAGATATTGTAAGCAAGGCCATTAAATCTTGGTTCTGGCATTTTGTCAAACTAGTTTACACAAGAACTTCCTCTTCCTCTGTGGTTAATAGCTGGTAACATAGATGCCGGACGATGCCCAATTTTGCCACCATAAAAACTAAAGCAAGCCTAAGAATGAAGACAATCCAGAAAAAAAAAATAATGAGAAATAGATGATACATAGTGACCCAGGTGTGATATAGATAATCGGATATCTTTCAAGCACCTGCATCTAGCCATGATGTTTCTAGTCAGGTCTTCCCTTGGACATGGAGTTGTAAATTGTCTAATCTAAATCTCCTCTGAATTATGCTAAGTGAAGCTAGCCAATCCCTAAAAAACAAATACCAAATGTCATCTTTGATATAAGGAGAGCAACTAAGAACAGAGCAGGGAGAAAGAGCTTGAGAAGAAGATCACCATTAAACAGTGACGAGAGAGGGGGGAGGGTAAGGGAGAGAGAAAGGAAATTGCATGGTAAAGGAAGGAGACCTTCATTGTTATACAAAATTACATATGAGAGGAAGTGAGGGGAAAAGGGAAAAAAAAACAAGAGAGAGAAATGAATTACAGTAGATGGGGTAGAGAGAGAAGATGGGAGGGGAGGGGAGGGGAGGGGGATAGTAGAGGATAGGAAAGGCAGCAGAATACAACATACACTAGTATGGCAATATGTAAAAAAGTGGATGTGTAACTGATGTGAATCTGCAATTTGTATACGGGGTAAAAATGGGAATTCATAATCCGCGTGAATCAAATGTATGAAATATGTCAAGAGCTTTGTAATGTTTTGGACAACTAATAATAAAAAAAATTTTAAAAATTAAAAAATAAATCTCCCCTGAACCACCAAGTCTTGCTTTTCCTTTAGTCAAATTTATTTATGTCTTCAACACTGACAAACAAACCAAAAGAATTTTGACTGCTGTATTCAATAGCTGCTTAGCAAAAGAAGCCTCAGGCAGTGAGACATTCGCTGTATGTTCCTTGCTTATTCAGAGAATTTGGGGCTATTTATAAATATGTATATCCTAAGAAATGGTAGATAAGTTTCCATTGAGAAGATGAACCCTGCCATTTACAGTAGACATTGATCAATTACATTGTTCTGCAGCAGGACAGCTAAGCACTGTCCTTTAATAAATAAAAAATGTCACAGTGAATTTTAACCTCACATATCCACATGTTACAGCTGCTTTACAGATGAAACAGGCTTAGAAACCACTAAACAACTTGCTCAACAAGAAGCAGGAACTCAACCCCCCAAGTTCAAAACCCACTTTCTTAACAACTGACCTACTTAGCCAAGCATCACCTAATTGTGCATTTTTATTACATAACTCCTAACTTTCAGTGTTTGCTAAAATTACAGGGGAGCATGTGAGATGTTCAGAATGCATTCAGAGGTACTACCGCATGCTATATGTTTTTAAGGGCATACACTAGGATAGCATGTATTTAGGACAGCTTTCCAAAATAATTCTGATTCAGTCAAAGGATAAATGGTTTTCAAAATGTGGATCATAGAACAACTTCCTATAAGAGAACTGTTTGTGAAATGAGTAGTTTTTTGCCAGAATGTAAATTAGCAGGGTTGCTAAGCACATTTCACCTGATCCATATATATAAACAAGGTTTTTTCAATGAAGACAACAATGTTCAATTTACATCCTAGTACAACCTTCCTGTTTTGTTCACAAAAGGATAAAACTTCTTTAGCACTTATTTAGACCATCAGACTTAACAGTAATGTGTCAGATTTCCTGCTGAAAATAAAATTTCAAAATTATAATTTGATTTTTATGCAGATTTCCCTCCTGAGAAAGAATATGCTAATCAGTGAGCTCCAATACATAATTTACTTGACAATTATACATCAATTTTTTATGCAGTCAGTTAGCAGGAGTCAGTTGCCAGAGGTCAACATGTTCTGGGTATAAAAACAATCATAAGTCTCCAGCTTCCCAGAGGACACCCTCTGGCATAAGGTGACTACAGCAAGCAACAGTTGCTTTTCAGTCCTTGTGACCTGTCAGCTGTTGACCATTCAGTACCACTGTGCTTTTCTTTATAACTATAAAAGTTAAAATAAGCAAAGAAAAAAGCTGTTTCATGTACACATTGTTCAAATCACAAAGAGCTTCCCAGTTCTGCTGACCCTGTTGTGGAAATAAAGTAGGTCTCCAACCAATCCTAAAATTCTCATTGAAGCTGCCATGAATATAACTCTAGTTAATTATTTTTTAATCAAATGGGGCTGCTTTCTCTGGGAGTACCTGCCTTTTAATGCAAAAGGTAATGGCACACTTAAGTAGCAAGAACCAGATGTAGTTGATTTAAAGGCTGAGCGGGGAGGCAGAAGTCAAATATACAATGTGTGATTAATAAGGAGGGTTGCTTTCATCTTATCTCTAGACATTCCTCTGTAGATGTATAACTGTGAAACCCAACTTGACGAACCATACCAGCCAGGTCCAGGAAAGATTTGTAACAAATTTGATTGTATTTGTGTATTCCCTAGTGGTTTAAAAAATATGCTTGCTGAAAATACAGTACCTCAAACATCTAATAGGTGTATTTTAAGCTTAGACAATGATGACCACAAGAGCTGAGGAGTTAGAAAGTGGGAGGCTTTGAAGCTGAATCATAAAATTTTTTGACAATATTGCTCTGCTCAGTGTCTCACTCCAGAGTTTTATAAGGTATTGGCTAAGGACTCAGAAGGAGATGTAGCATGTGGTTTTAAATGAGATGAAATGATGATTTTTAAGAAAGGAAGTAGTATCACCTCTGTGAAGTGACTGGCTGTTTGCAGAGAGCTTTCCTACACATAATCTGACTTGATGTTCCCACCAGCTCTACAAAGGGAGTACTGAGTCCATTATAGTTCAAGAATCAGAGATCTTATGTGACTGGAGATCAGTCAGTCTCAGGACGTGGTTCCTGCTCTGTTGTTGGACTGGCTGACTGGTGCGTTAGCTGAATAATTGGGTGATTTAATTTGTAGTCAGCTCTTGAGAATTCATCTACTTATTCCTTTGAGAGAAACAGGCAATGTCAGAAAGTGATCACCTTCACTCTTCTGCGCTACACAGGTGGATGCGAGGTCAGATGAAGGGCCCAGGCCCAGGCATGTGGAGAGTTCACTCTGCTGCACTATTAATACAAACAGTCCTTTTTTTTTTAAGTTGTCTTAAGAGGACATTTTTCTTAGCAAATTAAGTTTATTTGTTTCTTATAAACAGCACAAAATATAACAAAGGAGTGAG